GTTGTTTGCTTGGTTGGTTGTTAAGTTGGTCGGTTGTTTGGTTGGTGTGTTGTTAGTTGGTGTTGTTTAGTTGGTGTGTTGTTAGTTGGTGTGTTGTTTAGTTGGTTGGTTGTTTGCCAGCAGGATTACACAAAAACTCAGCAACAGAACCGATTATACACAAAACGTGGTGAAAGGTTGGAACACGAGAGAGAACTCATTTAAAAAAACTGGAATCAGATTTGTTTATCCTGATTAGTTTTTTCTTTCCTTCCTCTCATCGCTCACATTTTTTATCTTGTGACTCTTTGAAGGGGTCGGACCTCATTCACTGGAAACCGCTGCACTAAACCAAAATCAGACGATGATGAATGTTGGTGTCAGAGCATCAGAAGATAAAAACAGTCAACTTATTCAAAACGTTAATAAATATTAAAAGTGTTTCTTATATTAACAGAAAATTATTCAATTGATCCAAAGTAAAATATAAAGAACTGACTGTGACACTCCACAGCCTTTGTTAGTGCTCAGAGTAAATTCAAGTGTCACATCAGGATGTGGTGACATGATGAAGAAAGAAATATCACGTTTAATGACGAATAAAAAGAATTGAACACCGTCCAGAAAGTAGAAGAAGAATCTCCCACATCGTAGAAATCTCAGCGTCAAACATTCAGCCACGCTCCAGCTATTCACGTTCGAGACATTTTAGACTCTGGGGTTAGAGACAGAGTTATATTTCAGCTTGTCTCGGTTTCAGCTGCACACAGTTGAAACAGCTGCTAATGAATGTAAACGTGTGTAACAAACATGACACTGGTAACAGGTCACGAGTTCACCTCCTGCCTCGAAGCAGCATCTGTCCCCTTTAGTCCAGAGTTCAGGTGGTGCAGGTGCTAAATATAATATTCTATATCTGGAGAATTCGTGATTTTAAATGTCAGAGGACAGATGCTGCTCTCTGACCTCTTCACTCAGCACTATGCACCTTCACAATGTTAATTTAATCCCAACACTGACTCGTTCATTGTCACTCGTTATTAAATGTGTGAATTCATATCTGTTTTAGAAGCTATTTTAATGTCTAAGTCTCGTTTTTCTAGATTTATCGACACTAACTGTAAAAATCACGACTCCTGTTGAAGTTTGGCCCAGTCCATGTTGCACTGGGCCCAGTTTAAACGTCTCGCTCTGGATCATCTGCCTCCACCTGCTCAGAGTAACTCGTGACCAACACACCACACACATCTTCTCTGCTGCTGCTGCTGCTGCTGCTGACTGACCTGGCTCTGCTGGCTGCTATCCTCTGACTGCAGTTACCATGAGGAGGGCGGCAGTGGGGGAGCTGGTAGTATCTGTCCTGGCCTGGGGCCTCGTCGGCGGGCAGGGCCTTAGGGCTGGCTGCGTAGATAGTGCATCCCATGAACACCTCCTGGAAGTCGACCTCAGCGTCCCACGGTGAGCGGATGAGAGGCGTCTTCAAGGTATCCGTCCTCTGAGCGGCCCGTCCTGTGCTGATGCCAGCCAGCTGCTCTGTGGAAAAGCCACTGGCTCAGCACTTTGCTGTCTTAACCCCTCCTTCCTCCTGAATCCATCCTCCAGCCAAACTCATCCTCTCCCTCTCTCCCTCTCTCTCTCTCTCGCTCTCCCTGGCCCTCCTCCCTCTGCAGAGCCTGGAGCAGAGAGGATAATCAGATTTCACATTTACACTCAACAAAATCATCCCCAGCGTAATCACTGCCTGTCACTGATGTTGCATTATGCTAATGCACACAACATATTCTCAGTGGGGCAGTTAAAAATATCCACAGATAAAGATTGAAGAGCAGCGACGTCCAGTGATGAGCTGTCGACGGCTGCTCCGACGTTAAACCTCCAGCTGCAACTGTACTGACCATTTAATTTTTTTCTATCTTTTACTGTAATGTGTGTTTTCATTGTGAAAAATGGATTCCATAATATTTCCTTGGGAATCTTTAAATTGCTTTATTTATCCAAAACTCAGAGAAACGATATTCATCCAAATCATACAGAGCTTTAAAAACCAGTAAAGTCGAGAAAGTGTGAGATATTCAAGCAGGATTATTGAGTCTGACATATTTTAAAACATGAGATTAAAAATTAAACACTCATCTTTATGTAATAATTTGTCTGAAAAGGTTTCTCCAGAAATAAGAGCATAAAAATAATCAATAAATAATCTACTTATAAACTACCTGTTGACACCTTGTCCCTGATTCATCTATTAACTGAAGGAACGATAAGCAACAACACATTTGTAGAAGGAGGGAGCTTCAAGTGATTATAAGATGTAACACTTCACATATATCGTGTTTGATGAAACTCGTACTGTGATAAACTTCCATGCAGTTGTTTCTGACCTGACGGACTGAGGCCTCTCTTCAGGGACACTGCTCTCCTGTGGCCAAAACTCACAGTGCAGATTCTAGATCCTCCCAGTGTTAACACTTTGGAAAACCATATAAATTAGTTCAGGACTCATACTTCTTGTATTCTAGAGACTTATGTGTATAAAGAATCAACTTTGCACTTAACTTCTACTTAAATTAAAGTTGAATTAAATATCAGTATTAATGAATTATATTCTTCTATCAATAGAAAACCTTTTATTTTTCGAGGTAGGATTTTAAAAACAGTGGATGCAAAAAAAAAAAAGGGGTATAAACTAAGTCACCCTTTAACCTGGACAAATAATAAAGTCTTCATTAGTGTCGTTAACACATGGAAAACGTCACAAGGCCCAATTCTTTGAAAGTTATGGCTGTTGAGGTCGTCTGTAGATCTCAGATGGGTCGTAGAGACCTGGTATAGATCCTGGTCTCCTTCCTCATGATTTGATCTAGAATTGGATTTGTGAACATATGGATCTGTGTGTTCTTTTCTCTTGAATGTGTTTGTTTTTGTGTTTATCTTTGTGTTGGATCATTCATCATTTTATCTACAGTGTAAATGATCGATTGTTTTCTAATTGTGGGTACTTCCTCTAGTTTGAGTCACCTGCTCTGTCTGTTGTGATATTGAGCCGATGATGTCACTTCCTTTTATCACCATGGCCTATATAACGCATAAGTGCATTTCTGTTTTATCTTTATCATGCATTAGCCACACTACGAAAGGCTTTTATTTTTGCAGAGTATTTCGGTCTGTTTCCTTTTTTTCTTCCATCAAAATGTACCATCCCCGCACCAAAGAGCAACATGTGGGATTTGTTTGTACATTTATTTCCAAACAGACGCTCTCCTTTTTCCCCTTTCAATAATTGAACAGTTTTGTTATCTCAATTCCACAGCACTGACAGAGCAGGAGCCACTGAGCAGTTCCCAGGACAGATAGTCTCATAAAAAGATTTATTTTTTCCAGCCCAAATTTACAAAGGCAAGTTACAGAGTATTGTATAAAAAAGAACCATGGTAATGTACACTTTACACAAACTCCTGACGGGAGGGAGAAAGGAGGAGAAAGAGGGGAGAGTTCTGAATTTCTCACACAGAAAGAAAATGAAGACATTGTAAACATCCTTGCGAGTACCAGTGGAGGTACTGTAGGGAGGAGGAGGAGGAGGAGGAGGAGGGTGAGGGAGGTTTGTGTGACGGTAGGTGGATCAGAAAAAGGACAAACAAGCAAGTGTCTCTGTGTTTTCACAGAAGAAGGTTCAACTAGGCACCAATTGAGACAACTGCTGGCCAATAAATATACTCTTCACCATGAAACAAATACAGTCCTGCAAAATACAAGAGCCAAGCACTTTCCAATATGTTGATAGCAAACATTACTTTTCTGGCTTTTCATACACTTTTAGTAATATATGATTTTTCACTGGGCTTCGCTTACTACCGAGATAACATGACTACTCTCAGCGAGAGAACAAATGCACTTGTCACAACCATTGTCTGATAAATCTATATGAATGCAGTCAGCTGGTACTAAAACCCATCGACTTTAAAGACAACATCACAGCTGCCTAGATTACCCTCACAGATTAAGTACAAATCAAACACCACCACATTCAGCTTATTCGTGTCAGCCATTCTTCTTTAAAATGCGCAAAAAAAGATAAAAACCCTCTGCGAAGAATCCGCGGGACGAGAGACTGGTGTCTGATTTACTCGGAATGTCCAAGAAACCTCAAAAACAAAGCACTGCAGTTTGGTGCTGGTGAGAAATGTCTCGACAAAGGTCCAGAGGGTCTAAGACATGAGATCAACCGGTGGCGTGAAGACTCCATCACTGTGTTAAATGGAAAAAATAAACTACAACATGGTGGGAGGGGAGATTAAACGTGATTGTAAAACCAATACAATCAATAAAACTTTATTTAATGACTCTCATTGTTATGCTTTAGAGGAACGTTCACAACCCACAACAGCACAGTTTGGCATCAAACCTTCACTCTCTGACCTGAACCAGTTTCTGAATGAACCGGCTCAAAGCAGAAAATGTGCCGTTCTCACACCCACAAACAGGAGCGCTCTCAAAATCAATGCAAAAAGCACACGGATAGAATTTCACTTACAACCCCTGAGGTACGTGAGATGTGTAATTCAAAGCCGAGGGGGGGACCTCTGGTGGGACAGGCCGTGCTGACAGTCGCTCTTTCAGTAGATTTCAACTAAACCAGACTGGGTTTAATTTTACAGAGTAGCACCACCAGTTTGAGATCCAACGCAAAGCCTCGAGCAACAAGCTTCTTTTCAGATGCAACTTTGAGCCTTCCGACTTCAGTCGTGTGTGTGTGTGTGTGTGTGTGTGAGAGAGAGAGAGAGAGAGAGAGAGATCGGGTTCGCTCTCAGCTTTTCACCGGCTATTCCTTTTTAATGAAGTTCATTGTCTGTGTCGGATCGGTTCGTGTTTGCTCTGCGGTCGTAACAGCAGAAAGAGGTTTCAGGGGTAATTTCATGCACTTTTTGTTTAACGTGCCAGTAATGGAGCGCACAGCACAGGCAGCAACCACACAAAGAAAACTGGTGTCTGGCTGATCAGACTCACTGACCCAGTTTTTGGGCTGAACCAAACGCTAGCCGCCAGCGAGAAAACCACGCTAACGACTGTCTGGGTTGAATGTGTGTTGTGGTGAAGTCACAAAAGCAAGCGAAGCACCAAGAGAAAGGTTTGTCTTCCGACAGCGGCTGATTCACCATTTTGTTTTCTCTTAATCTGACAGAGTTGTCAGTTTAAATATTATTGAGAGATGTGGACCTGGTCAGGTCGGAAACGGTGGAATCGCTCCCTGCGTGTTAACATAAATGGAAAATTCCCGATGATGTGCTTAAATGACCACAATTAAAAAAGAAAATCTGCAGGGACATAACAAAAGCTACGGTTTGATCTGAGCACAAAATGCTAAACGCTGTGAAAATGTTTTCTTTAACAGTGAGAGTTTTTAAACAGTTGCATGCTGGGATACGTATAAACACATATGCACATAGGAGAAAAGTCTATTTTACAGCAGAGGAATACATGCGTTGAATGAAATTTCACATTGTTCACAGATAATAATCAAACCCGATGAGCTGAATGAAGCTACGGTAAAAAAAAAAAAAAAAACCCCAACAAGTGGCCCAACGTGAAGACAATGCCCTGTGAACTCGTCGCTTGCTAATGTGGCTTCACCGTGTGAGCGAGTTTAAAAGATGGACGTGACCGATTGATCGAGAGGAAAATCAGGACGACCACCAGCATCAGACACATTCAAAAGATGAACACAATGATATGGAAACTAAAATATTTCTGAGAAAAGAAAACATGAGTAGTGTTTATTCTCCATTGAGGTGTGTGCGGTCCCTTCGCAAAACATGACGACATCATCCCTGAAACAAGAACGGAGGGTTCAAAGTGGATGGGAATTAACAATGACGATGGAAAATAAAAACTTCAGTCTCAGGCTCTAAAGTCTCTGAAGGAAGCAGCTGTTGCCATATTCCATCTCCCCCCCAAAAAATATAGCCAAACATTTGTCAAGTTAAGGATATACTGTTGTTTCACGGCGTACGAGAAAGACAATGAGTTGAAATCATTTTTAATATGATTCAGTCTTTAATTTAGTTTGACTCCTCTTTCCCATCAGCCACCCAACTCCCCAGAATCACTGCCAATTTCTTTCTGCGTGCGACAAAAGAACAATGCAGTCAAAAAGGAAAATAAAACAACAACAATAAAAGCTGTTCTGGCAGTCCAATAGTCTCTTTTTGCATTGTATTTGTTGACAGTGCAAAGACTAGATAATCAGCGGGTTGGTGTTTCCTCTGCGTGATGGGGCAGAGCGATGGCTTTGAACCTGGGTTAATATCAGTCCTGTTACAGTCCAAGGTTTAGAGAGAATTTGAGGGTCATTTACGAGGGGAGGAAAGAAAAAAAAAATCATCTGCCTGTCCTTTTCAGCAGAAGAAATAAAAATATAGATAGAAACACCATTCAACTGATGTCTAAAAGGTAACACCCAGGAGATCTTCTTCTCATGTGAGCCAGTCACATGAATCTTTGCAGGGTTGAGGTGTGACGGTCGGGTTTCCCTGCGAAAGATACAAAAAGGAACTTTTGTTAATCGACAGAATACTTGAGTTTTTTCTTTTCAGTTTTCAACAAGTTAGAAGACTTTTTAAGAACGTAATGAATGAGATTTAAGAATTATGTCAAGTACGACAGATGTGAAGGAATACAGTCCCAGAATGACTTGCACATAATTAAAGATACGGTGAAGTAGCCGAGCAGATAATATGCTGCGTTATCTTATAACTACAGACAGAGACAGTAGGTTTGCATTGTCTTTTCCACAGCAAAACCATGTGGACAGCGTATCATGACAGACAGATTACAAACTACACATATACTTAATTTAAAGCGCGATGAAAGTAGCGTTAAGCAACGTAAACATAATTATAACCTACCTGACCTTATTTAAGACCTGATGCATAGTATATATGCATATAAATATTTAGGACTTTTTGAGGCCTAAACATTGGATAATAACATTTGAGACTTTTTAATTTTTCCTGAACATATTAAAGACATGAAAAGAAAAGGTGAAAAGGTTTCATAAATAAGTTGTGAAAGGTTATTTAGCCTATGCTCGTTGATAAAATGGGTTGGACAAAATAAAAGAGGAAGGGCAAAAAAAATATAATTGTAAACTCCAAAAAAGGAGCATTTTGGACAAAGCTGGTAACAGAGTCTAAGTGTTTATTTATCAGTTGCAATACATAGGAGCTTCCACTAGATGTCAGTGCAGGCTGGAGCATCTGTGTTTGTGTGCTCTCGCTCCATGTCTCCATTATCAGCACAGTGATCCTCTTGTCCTCAGAGGACCACTTAGAATGGATGAGCTGAGGGGCTAAACGCTGCCCTGCATATTGTGCTAGACTGCAGCAGAATAACAAGGGTTTAGTTTGGCCGGGATTTGTTTTCTTTACAAGTTGCTGCCTCCGAACACAAATGTTGAGAAGAGAAAGACGAGAGCTGGATGTTCTTTTCACATCAAATCAAATGAATGCAGGATAAAGAAACATACAGTTTTATTTTTACATTTCTACACCTGAGCCAGTGCTCATAATATTTTAACTGGAGCTCCGTGCATTGTTTGTTTGAAGAAGAGGTTCTGCCACCTGCACTTGTTAGATTTGCAAACAGTGCTGTGTGTTTACCTACGTGTCTCAGTGGGCTTGTGTTTTGTCTCACTGTCAGTCTTTAGCCTGTCTCTGCTGCTGAGGGGATTTCACTGTTGTCACCTGGGTGGTGAGTGGAGGGAGGGGGCTGCTGCTTGTTGGCTGATAAAGAGAGACCTATGGGAGGTTGTAAAATGTGTTGCTAACAGCGATAATGCCTCATTTACTTCTGAGTTTAGATCGCTCAATGGTCATCTGCCATAACTTAACAGCCCGCATCTAATGACAGTGCATTAAGTCTTCTGGAGTAAGGGCCTCGTTTTATTTAAGTAACTGTCTGTGATCTATTTTGAAGGAATGGTTGGTGCAGTGAATCCCGTGAAAGTCAAACAGGAGAGGTAGGACTGACTGACCTGTGGCATAGGACAGGTCATATTGCCCTGAGAGCAGAGGGTATCCCAGGTGGTGATGAGAGGGCATGATGCGCTGGGAGGGCGAGGAGCGCGGCCGATCTACGTCTCTTTCCCGTTCCCTCTCCCTCTCCCTTTCCCGATCTCGGTCTCCAGCCGCTCCTCTGTCCTGCTCTCGCTCCCTGTCGTGCGGCGGCTTGTCGCCTACTGTGGGGGATTTGCTCTTGTACTGGCTGGCGTGCTGATGCAGGATATCCAGGGCTTTGGAGTCTGTTGCCGTTTTGGTGACAGTAGGGCTAGCACGAGATTTGTCGCCGCCCTCCTCACCTCCGCTAATTTTACTTCCATACGGAGAAAATGGATAACCTCCAGGTAGATACGAACCTAAGAGGGATGAAGGAAATGTTTAGAATTTATGTTTATACAGAAAACAAATTTAACAATAACTAATGCTCTTATCTATAAAGGTTTTACCAACTTCTGCAACATACACTGTAAATATTGAAATGTAGTTGACCTGACTGGGGTCAACAGCAAAATACAACACTTTAATTTAATCTACGGATAAAAGCACCTTAAGCTTTGTGCCCCTGTAGATGATGTATGCACGAGATCAACAACACAATTTAACATACATTTTGAAAGACAATATAAAGCCATCGCGATTTCAAAAAAGAAGACACGTGTATGTAAATTCTCTAATGTAGACTATTTTTATCTAATTTAAAATCAATCGTAGACGCTTTAAAACATAGGTAGAGCCAACAGCGTAATCACTAGTTCTAATCCAGGGCTTATGTAAATCTTTTTTTTACCAAAAGAAACCACAAGACCCACTAATGTCATTGAGGATTAAACTCCGTGAATGCCATTAGACTGCATGTTTTGAACCAGTTAAACAGCTCCACACTACCAGTACCACTCACCTATTTCCTATACATCCACAGCATTAACAGGGGCAATATTGGGTTCAGTATATTACCAATGGATACTTCGACAAGCGCAATGGAGAAGCCAGGGAGCAAACCACCAACTTTCCAATTAGGGAAAAAAAAACACTTTGACTTTTAAACCGTTGCTGAACCAAAGACAATCTAATGCATTTAAAACCTCTGACATTTACTAAATTTGGAGTCTATCTAAAGTCATACCTGGGTAATTCTGCATCATAACTGAGGGCATGCCCCTGTATCCAGGGTGGTTGGGGTCATAGCCTTGTCCATAGTGATATCCATGCATGTAGGGCATGTATCCTTGGTGTTGCGCTAGTGGTGATGAAAACTGCATGTGGGGATTGGAACGAGAGTCTTTGCTCATAACCCGGTGGTCCTCAGAAGTGATTCTGGGATCGCTACTTTCTTTGCTGTCCTCCTTGGGCACACTTTGACTGTCCTTGGGCCTAGGCCTGTCATCCTTTAATTTACGATCCCGTTCCCGTTCTCTGTCCCTTTCGTCTTTCCATCGAGGTTGCTGGTGTTCGTCTTCTGCTTGTGGCTTCTGGCTTTCTGGGAATTGCTGAGGAGGGAGAAAGAAGGTCCTTGTAAGCACAAATCACATCAAGCTGTAAAACATTCTCACAACAGATTCACATGCATATTTACCACTGTTATACTACATTTGTATTTACCTGTCTGTACCATATGGTCTGCTCCATCCCTGCCTGACCTCTGGACTCAAGTGTTTGCTTGGAGTCTTCCTTTCCATGGTGACCCCCTTCAGTCAGCTTCATCTTCAGCCCCTCAGCTTGCTGGGACTTCGTGTCCTCCACCTTTATGCTTCCAATGGATTTGGAGGAGAGCTCAGAAGGCGAGTCCCTCAATTTTCCTGGGGGTTGTGGTGTCTTTCCAAGGTCTGACTGACTTGGGGCTTTGGAGAGGCTTGGGGGCATGGGGCTCTTTTGTTTCCACTCCTCCTTCATGGAGGCTTCCCGTTCTTTTATGGCGACATCTGACTTCTTCTCAGCAGCACGATGCTGTTCAGCCATCTGTCTTTGACGCTCCTCGTACTGTTGCCGATAGGCTGGGTTGGTGTTCATCAAGTGGTTATGGTAGGCCTGATCAGGATGATATGCATATGGGGGGACATAAGCATACTGGTTGTAGTAAAGAGGCTGCATGTACATGTTGGATCGCTGTTGAATGACTGATGGTTGCTGTTGCTGCTGCTGCTGTTGCTGCTGCTGCTGCTGCTGCTGTTGTTGTTGTTGTTGCTGTTGTTGTTGCTGTTGTTGCTGCTGTTGCTGCTGCTGCTGTTGTTGTTGCTGTTGTTGCTGCTGCTGGCCAGGAGCACCGATGTCAGGTTTGCGATCTTCATGAATCTCAATCTTGACTTTTTCCTCACCTTGGTCCTGGTCTTCTTCTCTTTTGATCTTAATCTGACCTTCAACCACTGGGGTGCCTGGATTGGGCCCACTGACACTGGGGTTGACATAATTAGGTGAGTAATATGCATCATAGCCGGCATAGTACGGGGATTCTTTGTTGGGTGTCGGATTTGAAAAAAGTGCTTTTTTCACACTTTCCCTGATGGCTTGGTCCTCCGTCCTCACTTTGACACCACCTTCGAGTTTCCCTTCACCATCTTCTCCAGCATCTGAAATGTCAGAATATGCTGGGCTATTAGTTTTGACTGATGAATTGTCAGCACCATTTTGGTTTACCGCATGAAGTGGCGTGAGAGGCTGCGGCATCCCACTACCATCTATCCGACTGGCTACACCAATAGATGGGCTAGGGGCATTGTCTGAAAAGCTGTATATCTTGTCAGCCTCAGCCTTCATACTGGCCAAGCGACTCTGATGAGGATCTGAGGAACCATTGAGGAGTCCATCCCCCTTAATTCCTTGATCTGGAGGCTCAGTATATGGAAGCTTACCTTCCTCTAGTTTTCCACCCTTTCCCGAAGGCTTGGGGCTGTCAGCTTCCTTCCCACCGTCCTTTTTCTTCTTGTCTTTCTTCTTCTTGTCTTTGGAGCTACTTGAGGCAGGGTCTACAATGGCAGGGGGTTTAGGCTGTGTCCCTTTCATTTGGGGACTCTTGGGAATACCTTGTATCATTGGGGTAAGCCCTGGGGAAGAATTTGGGTTTCCAGGAGGAAAAGAGTACATCTGCTGGGATGCTGCAGATGCAGGGCCAATGGGCCGTGGTGATTTCATATTTTTCTGGGCCATTTTATCAGCTTTGAGGCTTGCACTACCCTTTTTTGACTTCTCTGATCCTCTCTTATCATCTATACCATCATTACTTGCCTCATCAGTGAGGCATGGCCCATCCTCACATCCGTCCATCGGTGTACCTCCTGTTTCTGGATCCATCTCAGCAATTTTCTTTTTACTCTGCTTTGAACCAAACTTGCCAGGAGATGGGGAAGGACTCTGAGCCTCAAAGTTCCTGCCTTTTGGAGTAACTGAACGTGCTGGAGACAAGGATCCTTTCTGAGAGATGGATGCTCCATTACAATTTCCTGGTTCAGGGTGGAGAGTTGAATCCTCTCCATATTCACTGTCTCCATCTAACTCCAACTTTATGTCATCATCATTGTGGGCACGGGCTTGGTGGTACTTGAGACCATTGATGTGCTTGTACTTCTTGTTGCAGTTAGGATGTGGACAATCAATAAGAACTGGAGAAGGGCAGCTGCGATCGAGGGGAGGTGGAAGTGGCTCAGTCTTAATGGAAGAGATAGGCAGACCTGTTGGTCCCACCCCTCCACTGTTTGAGTTTGTCCGCATCCGTTTGTTACCTTTGGTGTCCTCTGAGCTAGAATTCGGCTCCATGTCTGAGGCTGGTTTGGTCTTGCGTTTCCCAGCTGAGGAGGGACTGGCCTTGATGTCTTCTGTGTTACTGTTGGGTGGAGTGCGGCGCTCTGATGGTGTCTGGCTGCCCCTTCGGCCCTTGCTGTTCGCTGCAGCACGTGTCTTGTTGTTGGTGGTGCCCTTGTTGTCTGATGAATTGCTGTTCTCATTGATAGGGGTGTTGCTATTCGGTCTCATGCGCTTGCCTCGACCACGGCCATTCCTCATCTCCAGATCACTTGTCGGGGATTCACAAAACCTGCAGTAGTGTTGGAAAATTACAGGTAAGAATTACTGATGTCACTGCATCAATGGGTGATTCTAAGACCTGTTATTTTTGAAATTACTATTGCTGGAAATTATAATAATACACTGACAAGACGTACTTAATGATTTTATTATTTGAAGTTTTTTTAAACATTGAATCTCTGTTAAAATGCTTGAATGTTATGATCAACAGTAAGAATAAGAATTTTCTAAAATGTATCTGTCTAATTTATTTGAATCTGGAGGGTGAAGATGTGTTTCACAGTTTCTGTAAAGTAAACATCACGATTTATTTTTCGAAAACTACACGAAACCAAAATATTTGATTGTCAAGGTTAAAACAAAAAATAATAAAATAATCAGTGTTGACAATTGTAGCGCTGTTCTGGATGAGGTTTGTTCATATTGTAACTGAGAATCTCAAATACTTATTCCAGATTACACTACGTGTCTCACTACCAACGTTTACGACATTGTTCTATCCCTGTGTTCTCATTTAATATCAACCTGTTATTTGTTAATATAAGTGAGTAAGGACTTGTAACAAAGCCAAGTGGAAATGAAAATATTTGAAGAGACATAGTCATTCAAATACTTAAAATTACAGTTTGGCCTTATCTCTCCACAACAGTGAAGTAATTATCTTTCTGCGCAGCAGTGGTTAGTAATCTGTGACTAAAAGAAACATCAGGCTGGAATGACACAGCTTCCTCCACAAGTCTCTCTAAACAATTTCAGCCCCAGCAGGGGATATGAATACAGCCGTAGTCTGACAGTGGTGGAGGAATTTAGACTCATTACAAGCCCAAGTTTATATTCACTCCATTGAAAGCTTTCTGAATTATTCATGGAGAGTCCCTAATGTAGTCATGCTGCAAACTGTAAGACTATGTTGGTGCAAATACACCCCAGCAAACCTCACTTACTGAGCATCATTGTGATTTACTGTGATACATTAGTGTGATACAGCCTCGCCTTGTTTTCCATTAGCGGTGCTTTAATCTGAACTTCTTTTTTTTTCTACATTGCACTTAAGGATGCATTTCAAATATACATTTATATTAACACTTAGATACAGAAATGAAAGCAGCTGCTTGGGAATATATCTTACACAACCTGTGTATTTTGCATAATGAAGGCAAATATCCAGAAATAAAAAACTCTTAAGCTGCCACCCACTTAACTCTGATCTAAAAAATTGCAGCTTTGTGTGATAGAGAACGTTACACTGTGTTGAGGAAAAGCTATCAGTCCAATAAATGGATTCTGCAATCTGGCTTGTTAGAGTAGCTCTCTATTTCATCTACCTCCTCCTGGGATATCAGCCTTTTCCAGTGAATCCTGTTTCTCTAGGCCTGAGATAAAGACCAACATGGACTTGGACGGTCCAAATGCACATTGGTAAATAGGTACATTATATCCTTGAGTTGAATTCTATTGCAGTAGATTCATATCAGCCAGAATATGAAAAGGTTAAGAGACTGAGTGCAGCCTGGATACAGAGAATGCACCAGTTATTCATAGTAATCATGACTTCTCTACCTTGGCATTTACAACTACCGTGTGTCACAGTGAATTCTTTGTACAATGCAAAAATTATGCAAACCCGGTGGATGTAGCAGAGTAGTTTTAACAAAACCAAACAAGGGATGATTCATTAAAATAATTAACATAATAATAAAGAGGGAATAAAAAAAGGCTCCTTACCTGGGGGGAGCCCAGTCATGGCGAGTGCAGTCCAACAGGGTTCCCACATATGTCTTGTTTCTCCAAGTAACATTGACCACCAGCATGCCTGTGAGACAAAGAATAAAACAGGTCATTTACTTTGGGTTAACAGCGTCAATAATCCAAATTGCGCAGAATAAAATACAGTTCATTATCAAACCCAAGAGAAAATGTTATACAGTGAAATTCATGTTCAACTGCCTGCACTGTGCGAGCACAAATTGCATTGTGTCTGCTGCATCAGCATGGTGATCTTTGCTAAAGGGTGTCACATGCAAGGCAGTTATACAATCCCGAGATCCTATTTTAATCACTATCACACAGCAAAGCCGCAGGGGCAAGGCTGACATATCTTCTAAACGACTTGGAACACACTCAGATGCAGTCAGTATTGTAAAACCTATATGAAATACTGGCAGAAGGTCTCACTAAGAATGATCACACTGAGGTTACCAGGGAATACTCAGTCACTGAACACTCTTTCCATTTAAATAAGCCATCTCACAGACAAAGGAGGTTTCCCTCAAGAAGATTTATTTGGAGGCAAATATTTTTTTAATCGTCCTCCGTCTCACTTTGAAGCCCAGATATTCTCTACCTTGGGGATAATATGGATCAACCACTCCAGCTTCCTAAAAACAAGCGAGCGCCTCCCGGGTTACACCATTTCAATGTCAATGGTTCAGTTTGACAGCTTATAACCGAGTGTGCAAGAAAAGATCCTTGACTACCTTGGAATTGCTGCAATCCGTCACACTTAGACGCTTCGGTGTTGCCATTTGGCGAGTGTGAATTTGGTAGCACTGGGTGTGAGCTACACAATCTGACCTGTGCTGTGTGAGATACCCGACCTTGCATTTGAAATCTATATTTAGTTCCTTTTAAAATGTGTTTCTCTTAAAGAAACCGAATACTCTCCACTTGATTGTGAGTCACTGGGACGCCACCAGATTTGCACAAAATTACTCAACGAAATCCCTGCACTATGTACATTGAACTGCAACACAGCAGAGTGCAGATTTTGCCAATAAATTTTAAAGTAAATCATCAACCAAACAGCTTCAGAGGATTAAGAGCAACGACCGTGCTGAAAAACATTGTGGATTTATTGCCCCCACCATCCCCCTCACTCCCCAGTGGTGACCTCAGCTTGCCACTTCAGCACTGCAGAGAAACTGGAGGCTGCAGTGAGCTAACTTATCTAATGGCACAGGAATGCTGGCTGGCAGCTTCCATCCCTCCAAGCATTTTATTAGCTTAGGAAACCTTTCTTGCTCACCCCATTTTCCCTCTCTCCTTCACCCTCATTTCCTCTTTTCAGTGGTATAACCATCCCCGGCTTACAATCTTTTTTCCTCCCACACACAAGTCACAGTTCGACCTCATTTTTCTCTTGCTGCCTTTGGCATATAGCCGCGAGTGTGTAAAGGTATTTATATATGTTTACAGGAGCCTGCTGACACTCGGCCAGGAGTCTCTTCCTTCACTCTATGGTCTAACAACGTGAGTGCTTGGTCAAGGCTAGCTCCAACTGTTCATGATGTTTGCGTGCACCAGGTAGTGGAGGGGTCCTCAAGTTCAGTTTTTCTGTCACATTAAGGAAACACAGACCTTTTCTAAAATGCCTTTAACAGCCCGTCCCCCTAAGCCCTCCTAACACTCCACCACAAAATGGCTCTGGCAGCTGGTGGTGGCAGGATGTAAATCAAGGCAGGGCAAATGAATGACTGACTGAATGAATGACTCGCCTTTCATGATGTGCTTTCTCTACTGAGGGGTTTAGAAATAAACCATTAGTTGTTGAAAGTCTTAAATGATTTTAAATTAGCATTCAGTCTTTATGGCCCTGTTCAGACATCAGATCACGAGTGGACAACTTTGAATTTAGGTGTGAACACACCAGAGATGGATTGAAGACTCATTTGAGATGTGATCACTCAGACCACATTCAGAGATGGTCTGTGATGCATATGGCCACATTCTTTTTCAGCGTGCAAATGTGTCCTGGGCCACATTGAAGCCCTGGCCTTTCAACTGATGTCCTCTGGCCTGCTACAGTTTCACAATGAACCGACAATACTTCACAGTGCTTCCCATCCATTGATTTATTTGTGGCCACAGCTACAATATCAACTTTGACCATTAAATATTGATTTTCTATATACTATTTTTTTTTTTTTTTAACTTTTTCAAATGAGTGAAAAATAAAATTTAATTGCAGAGCGGTGCATTGACTCGCTCAGCCACTCCTGGTGAGTCCTGCTCTCTCTCCCCCCTCTCACTCTCTAATAAACACAAACAAACCAACACATGGACAAACACATGTCAATATTTGACTGGCTAAAAACAATGTATATTGGTCTGTGTACAGAGCTGTGATGTACGACTTGTTTATTGGCATACAGAGCAGGAAAGTGAGATCCCATCACAAGCGGTCACTCGAGGCGCATGTGGAGATGAATTTTAATGCCAAACGAATATGGTATTACGAGAATTGTAAAATGTCTTTCCCACTTGAAACAGTGGCAGGACAACTGATGCTGTGTTCATCTGCCACAGTCTAGATGATTAATGGGTTCACTCGGTTCTGTGGAAACAAAACCCAACCCAGGACCGTAACGGAACAGGTCCCAATTCCACTCAGCCTAATCGTGTTGGGTCTTGTTTTACTGCTGTGGTTCAAACCTCCCTATGTCAATACATCCAGTGTCCAAGTAGATTTTAATGCATCCGGGCTGAAACCAAGCTTATTTCAGCTAAATTAAGAGCCGTGTTTCAGTTCTCTCTCCTGCAGGGTCTGTTCGGTTCGACCACATTTTGGATCAGGTCAAACAATTCCTGTGTCCATCAGATTGGGTCTGGCTGAGCTACGGTTCCACTTGCATGAGCTCTGTCTTTTCTGAAAGTTGACTTATGCCCATGAGGGCTGGTAGTTTAAGAGTAGCCTATTTAAGATCTCCAAATTGAAATGTACTAATACATATATATAGACATATAAAACTAGCATCAATAAAAAATATGCCTCAGAAGACCCTGTAATAGTTAACATTATAGGCCAATAGCTCAAGTTTCCCAGCGTTTATGTCTTTGCTTCAGGCTCAGAATCTCTGACATGCCTTTTTATAGACACTAACCGTCGTGCTTCCTCCTGGCCACCCTCCCATGTCGAAGCCAAGGAACTCTGTAATCCTGTCACAGTGGCCCCTGGCTTCTGGGTCACCTCAGATCTCTGCCTGTGCAATATTTTCTGAGGCAGTTAATAAAGTAGTTCCTTTCTAGTTATGTGGGACATCTCAAGGACATTCAAAGAGATTTGGATGCATCTGAACTCAAAAGGGAATGGTGCTACAAAACAAGAAATAGTTACAGACTCAAAGATATTTCTGCACTTCATGCTTAATTAATTTACCACAAATGTTAGGCTCTGTAAGGCTTTCAGTGTGCTACATACCGGTTTCATTATGTTTGGTTCGCACTGCTAGGTCTAATTACAAGTTAGTAGCTAAATTAAGCATTACTGAACCACATTTTCAGCATTCAGAGGCGTCTGTCTCGCCCAATGTTATTTGGACAAAGTGTTCTTCTTTTGTATTTGACACCTACTGGCCTGGCATGCTTCAAGGTTTGCAGTTGTTTTTGTGTTCTCGTCTGGATGAAAATGTTTTGTGGTGTATAAACGGCTTAAAGAAGTTGCATCAGTGCTCTGAGAGTAAATTTCCAGCCAATACAATTTAACTCTGAGGTAAATACAGCTTGGATTACTGTTCATTAGTAGCAATAATAACAGATGTTGAAAAATCATTCTTTATCATTATTTTGTTATTGTCACTTTTCTTATGAGAAATGTACAGTTTCTCATCCATAACCAGCCTTTAATGTGTTGATACAGTCTTATTAAACATTTACATTTTTGTATTACACAACGTTTGACTGATAAAACTAAATAAGCAATTTAGCAGTTACAATGCTGAAGTGGCCCAAATCCAATTCTTCAGCTGTCAGGTCACTCTGATCTGTATTTTTCCACATACGTCTGAACAGACCAAATGTTAGTTTTTCCGTATCAAATCTAGGCCACTGTGACATATGTGGTCCTAGATCTGATTCATATCTGAGCTGTGGCTATGCGGTTGCTGTCAGAACAACCAGATTGAAATTCATGTTGCTTTTGACATAAATCACAACACAGTGTTTTCACTGGACTAGTTCAGGGTCTTTACAGTGGGAATCGGAATTCGCAGAACTTCTTGGTAACGACATGAAAATATGCTCAAGGATACATAAAAAGACAAAGATTAAGTTTCACTGCTAGAAGCCAGATGAATTACACTTTCATCCAAGGAAAAATTTTCAAGCTGTCGGAACAAAGATGTCAAAGTCAAGTCAGTCTAAACATGGAAAGCCCTTGACAAAATAACCCAAACAAATTTCCCTGTGGCAGAGAGGAAATTACACAAGAAACTGAGACGACTTTCCATTCATGCTCATTTGTTTATACACAGGGAGCTACATGTTTTGTTTTGTTTTGTTTGTGAGACACGGTTTCTCTCTTTACTCACTGGATCAGTTTCAGGAGAAGAAACAGACTCCGGTTCAACGGTCAAAAAATAAAAACTTGCTCTTTGGGAGTTCAGTTCATTTGGGATTTGTTCGCCAGAGGAGGGTTGCTGTGAGGTGAAGGAAAGGGGTCAGAGTGATTTGGAGCAAACCCAGTTCCCTGCACTGTCCCCCCCCCCCCCGCCCAATCTCCCCTTTGTGACAGTCTTATTAGGGTCACTCAGGACAGCTGAGTGAAGCTCACATTAATGAGAGGAATTGGCCAGTAATTTCACCACTCGTTTCCTTTTAGTGCCGTTGAACAACAAATGGCAACTTTCCTTCGGTGCTCAACTCCTCTGCGTACTTGTGTAGGATTACTTGAACAAGAGGGTAATGCAAGGGGGGAAAATGAAGTCAGGAGTAGGTTGTCGACAGCACGGATGACTGCTCCCTTCAGCTCTGAAACTCCCCTCCTCCCACTTGAACCCATTTCATTAGGTTGCAGAGGGGCCAAAATATCAAGCTCTC